AGACGCGAGGGAAGAGCAGAGGCCGAGGAGGAAATTAGGTTGGCCATCGAGCGGGGTGCCGCCGGCGGGTCCGGCCGGCTGGTCCGGCAGCCCATTGAGCAGGGACCGGCGGCCTCGGTCCCAAAAACAAGCAAGTCCGAAGAAATAAATTAGAGTAGAAATTAAAGTCCGCCGTCGTGGGGCTCGCGTTCGCCAAGTGGCCGAGTCGCGGGTTGAGGAGGGGAGAGGGGGGGGGGGGGGGGGGGGGGGGGGGGGGGGAAGGAAGGAAGATGAGAAAGACGCGAGGGAAGAGCAGAGGCCGAGGAGGAAATTAGGTTGGCCATCGAGCGGGGTGCCGCCGGCGGGTCCGGCCGGCTGGTCCGGCAGCCCATTGAGCAGGGACCGGCGGCCTCGGTCCCAAAAACAAGCAAGTCCGAAGAAATAAATTAGAGTAGAAATTAAAGTCCGCCGTCGTGGGGCTCGCGTTCGCCAAGTGGCCGAGTCGCGGGTTGAGGAGGGGAGAGTGGGGGGGGGGGGAGGGGCGAGGTAAACAAAAAGCACTACTGCTGCCGCGCGGTGGAGGTTACGCCGAGCCTTTTCCGCATAGACCCGCCCTGCCGCCGCCGCCGCCCCGCCTCCTTCGCATTCGAGCTTATTTTCCAGCCGAATTGAGCCTATTCCCACGTTCCCGCCCAGTCCCGCCACCCTTTCCGCCTGCGAGCGCCGACAGAAAGAAGAGAGGGCAGATTAGCGCGGCTTCAGTCAGCGCAGCGCGGCGCTGCCCGGCCTCGGCCCGGCCGAGACAATACGCGCCGAGTGAAGTGCCCTCCCGGCCCACCCGGCGCCAACCAGCCCTCCCGGCCCCTCCCGATAAGCCCCTACCGAGGTGCATCCCTTATCTGGCTACGACACGCTGAGTCGTCGTCGTCGTCGTCTTCTCGTCTCCTGCCGAATTTCCTACTTTTTATTTCAACCCCCCCCCCTTCCTCCCCTTCTATTTCCCGCGCGTCTTTCAGCAAGCAACAACACAAAGCCAGTCGGATCAGCGCCGCTGTCTCTTGTATCTCACCCCCTCCCTCCCCAGTTTTACCCCCCACAACCCCTCCAGAGCAGCGAGCGCGCTCCTGCCGCCGGTAGCCACATTACCCCCAGACCCCCCCACCCCCGAGAGGAGCAGACGAGAGGCCTCCTCCGTGTCCTCAGAGAAGGAAAATGTTGGTGCGGGGTCGAGAGACGGGAGCGCCGCCGGCCCCTCAGGAGGCGTGCGGGGTCCGGGGGTCCTCTGGGCCGGCCGGGGGCAGGCCGAGGGGCGGCCAGGAGTGCGGCGGCTGCTCGGTCTCTGGAGGGTCCTACCGCCGCGACCCTACCCCGCCGCCCCGCCCCGCCCCGCTGGGCCAACCCTCTTGGCGGGACACGACGGCGACGGCCCCAGAGCGCTGCTACTCTGCGGGCGCGCCGAGACAACCAGACCGCCCTTCCCCGCCCCGCCTCGCCCTGCCTCGCCCCGCCACTGCGCCGCGCCGCCGGTCTAGAGGGGATATACTTCACAGGGCGCAACACGTCGCCGCTTTGTCGCCACTTGGCGACCCCGTCGCGGCGAGGAGGTGGAGGTCGGGGGGAACGTGGTG